AGACAAGCACCTCAACCACTATGAAAGCATCTGCAAAAAAGATCCAAACATGAGAGAGGAAGAGGAACACCCTTCTTTGTATTGGTCTTGTTGAGCCACCAGGTAAAATTAGGTTGGTGGTGAAGAAGGACAAGAGATTCCAAGAGAGATTCAATTGAGTGGGTACTCCATTATAAAAGATACATGTGAGCAGAAATCAAGGGGTTCCATGGAAGCCCAAGTCCTCAAAAGAGAAAAAAACTCATGCAGAAAGAGGAGAGGACCACCAAATGAAGTTAAGGTTGTGCCCTCTGAAATGGTAATGTTATAATTTTTCTACACAAAAAATATTTTTCTAATAAATGCTTACGTCCACTTGTATAGTAACTTTTTCGATTATTACCACCTTCTATATGTGCAATTTTCGCTCTCAACTAGCCTTGATGCTCTAGCCTACCTCCGTGTGTTTTGACGTGGTACTGTTGTGCTGTAGCATGCAAAAACCCACCACCACCAATAGGAGTGCAACAAACTCTCCTAGTGTAGCTGACACCCTCTATGCTGTAGAACAGAATCTTCACTTCAAGATTACACAACAATGAAGCACTAGAAGTGTGGAAAGTGTGAGAGGTGGTATCTATCAGAAATATCAGTATTAGAAAATTATAACTACAGGTACGATACCTTAACTCCTCTCACATAATAGCTACAATCCCACACTGACCTGACAGAGGGACAAGTACAAAACTAACTGGAAGCACATCCTTCAGAAAGTGTGAAGAGAACCTATGGAGAGTGACACCTCAATGAAAAGGAAACACACAAGGAAGACTGCACCACATATGAATCGTGTATACTCACTTTTGATGAATGATCATGTCACCAAATGGGTGGAAAAAAGGCACATCCTTTATTACCTAGATGAGCCATAATTAGTAGGTCAAAAGCAGTCCAAAACCAGCAGTACCAGGAATGGATCATTTGGGCCACGTTAGGAAGAGGGTCCCTACCATCTTCACCTCAGGCTCAGAAACCAGAATGGAAAGAAGGCTTAAACTATGAGAACCCAAGCCAGCACAGGTGCAGACCTAGTACAAAACCAACACTAGTCACCTAGTAATCCGAGATCTGGTGACAGTAGAAAGATGGAATGCAGTGTGAAGGGTCAACTCCAGTCCAAAACCATGTGGCACTAGAAATGAATTATTCATTCCATCATATGAAGAGGGTCCCAGCCCCAACATGTGTATAAGAACTATTGTTGGCCAGTCCAGCTCCAACCAACACCACCACATCTTGGAACTGACATCCAGGAGGCAGTAGGAAAAAGATTTTGCAGCTGGGATGGTGAACTGTGTGTGGTGGATTCATCCAGTCCAAAACCATTTTGTCATCTGGAATTGTACATCAGGTCTGATGCAGAAGGAGAGTACACACATCTACACTAGCAGAACACCACAACCTAACTCTCAACCAAGTACAATGGAGCACACCCACGAGAAAGCCTTGGTGGTCCACTACCGCAGTGGCTAGAAGCTGGTGTTTGTTTGTTTGTTTTGAATTTCATGCAAAGCTACACGAGGGCTATCTGTGCTAGCCATCTGTAATTTAGCAGTATAAGAATAGAGGGAAGGCAGCTAGTCATCACCACTAACCACCAACTCTTGGGCTACTCCTTTACCAATGACTGACCATCACATTATAATGCCCCTCCTGGCTGCAAGGTTGAGCATGTCTGGTGGGACAGGGATTCGAACCTGCGACCCTCAGATTGTGAGTCAAGCACCGTAACCACCTGGCCATGCCGGGCCGAGCTGGTAAGTGGCAAGGACTCCTACTCCACTGGAAGAAAGCATTGGGAGTGCAGAGTAATGCAACACCATAGAAAGTGCAAAGGTTGACCACAGAGCCCTATTTCTAAAAAGCCAAGCCTGAAGGATCTAGCCAGTCACAAGGTCATTTGACTACTAGCTATCGACCATGATACCTGCCAGTAAGCAGACTGCCCCTATCCAAAGCCGCCATTAATTATCAATGGACTACTGCTCGACTTCTCGCTATGGAACACAGCCAACTTCATCCATCGCTACAAGCCCCAAGCCCAAGTATTCCCTGAGTGCACCCGTCATCTATGCAAGGGAGGTATACTCCTCCAGCCCAAGACACTCGATTACTTCTGCTACCTTTGCCACCCTTGGTCTTCAAACCCACCCATTACATGCCAACCCCTAAAAGCAATGCCAGTCTCCACACAGTATTTCTCAGAAACGTCCATTTACCCTTTACGCCAGAGGAAATTCATCAAGCCCTCGAAACTACAACAAACTCTACAATCCACCGTATCTCACCAAAGTAAACAGGTTCACCCTCCTCTTTCATGAAAGTTGTCACAACTTCCAAGATAACCACAGACTCCACCCTCACCCACGGCTGCTATCTTGATTTCTATCACTTCAAAGCAGAAAAAACATATCAAAAGCCTCACCTATCCCCTATCTTTCCCAGCTCATCCACAAAGTCCACGTTTCACATAATCCGAATGGCAACCACCACTAACCAGGACTCTAATACCCAACCTATCAAATCTGACCAAGCAACTCAAACCCCGCTCACACCTAAGATAGAAACACAAGAGAAGGTGACCCAAACCACCACAAGGAGAAAAAAGCACACAGACCCAGCTGCCAGTCTTTCCAGTAACCAACAATGCTTATTAACAAACCTGCAACCCATCTCTCAGCCCCAAGCCACTTTCTACACCCTCGTCGTCATATTCCACCAATGCTCTCGTAATCGACACCTCCCCAACCATAACCTACTCGACGAACCTTTCTGTGCCCTCTGCCCACTTACCAGCGACACCAAGGACTTCATGTCATTACAACCATACCGGAATCTGAACCTGTACCCCAGCAAAACCCTGGCAAACATCAGGAGAATTCACAACTCTTTTAAAATTTAATCATCTCCCAGTACCAGACTTCACTTTGCTTTTCCAACTTACTTCTTCTCGCTAACTGGGTACTGAAAGTGGGTTTTCTCGAGGTACTCCCGTTTCTCCCCATATAAAATTCTTGGCATAGGATTTATAGATTTCCGCCACCTTGATGGACCGTCTGTCCTATATCAGCCATTTACTTTTTACTTTTATGTTTACCTTTTTAAGTTTACACAGCTTGTTTGCATTAATTTCTTGTTTTTCAATTTAAGCCCATACTCCTAGTCCACGTGCGGGGTAAAGGAGGATTGCTTAATCTTCGAGCACCCCTGATTAGTAATTATTTCTTCGGAAATAATTATTTTTAAATCAAAATAACTGCCAGAAATAAATACACAAAATCTAGCCAGGAATAGAGGGATAGGAAGCAATCCCTTCCCTGTTTTACTCGTGCTAGTCCATAAGTATATAGTCTTGGCTTGGCATAATTATGATAAAATACACTGTAAGGATGAACCTACAAGCAGTCTAAAAGAGCACCCCATCTCAATAATGAGTGTCATAGACCTTAAAGTCTGTGCAGTGTGGATTAAGTACTAGTATACCTGTACAGGCACCACTCACCACAGAGAAGGATCCAATCAAAAGCAAAAGAGCTCGCTGCAAAGGAAGATATGAAAAGAAATTTACCCACTCATAGTTGAACCGAGCAGTATAAGATGGCTACGTGAGGCAAACAAAATCTGGTTGAGATGGAGACAGCCAGATAATGAAGATAATGTGAAATGAAAGTGTAAGGAGTGGTCAACATGCCAGCCCAGTTGATGACGAAAATGAGCAACTAGAGGCATGGTGAAATGTCATATCTGGTAAGAGGATAAGGAAGAATATGCCGAACAAATAAGTTGATGAATCCAACCAGTAAGGGTAATTAGAGATGATCTCTTTATAGGGAAGGATTCCAATGGAGAAAAAGATGGGAATGGTAACCATGCAAGGAAGTCATGCATGCCACATTACACCAGAGAGCCCAAATCAGACACAGGAGGTGATCCAGATCAGAATGGGAATACAAATGTGAAATGGAAGGTAAGGAAATTGGAGTGAAGGCAAAATTACTCTCCTGAGCAGCAAAGGTCTGGGGAAGGAAGGCTGTGAATAAATGATTATATAAATGCTGTGGTAGAAGATACAAGAGACATTGAGGGTAAACACATCCAACCAACGATGCCTGCAGGCTAAGAGGAAAAGGTAATAAGTCTTCAATGCAAGTTGGTAAAAAGAAAAGGAAAAGCTCGAACAGAAGGAGAGTAAGAGCATGTAAGACAATATTAAGATTCCAGTTTGGCAAGATTGTGGGTTGAAGAGAATAAAGGATATGAAAGGAATAAAACAAAAGGGAGAGAATCGGAGAGGAAAAAGAGATGACAGAAATGGGAAAAACGAAAAGTATTAAATAAGGCTACTATATAGCCAGAAATAGTCGACACAAAAAGACCAATGTTGAACAGCTATGTGAAAAATTTGAACAATTACGGACTGTGGGACAGGAAGGGAAAAGGCCTCGACAGGGAAACCAGTGGCGAAAAATACACTATTTACTGATAAAAAAAGACAAGAAAGAAGGGCAGACTGAATGGGAAATAAGGCACCCTATCCATGTGGATGTCCAGTCCTCCTTGCAAGGGACTCGACAAAAGCCACACTAGAAGCCAGATTGTGAGAATAGATGGGTAGAACACGGATGAGTGAGATTGATGAAGGAGAGAGACGAAGAAATAATGGTGATGACAACTGTTGAGGCTAGAGTAATGGGAACCAGTGCTTTAGCAGGCCAAAAAGAGCCACGAGAAGGACTTGACATGAAGTGTTTTAGGTGATGGACAAAAACTCTGTGAAGGAGACAGATGGGAGAATAGGCATAAACTTGAAGATACTTCCAATCATGACTGAAGACATCAATCTCCACAGCTGTCAATCGATTGATCAATCCATGAGGAGAATCTTGTTCAGATGAGATAACTGATCTGCAACAAGATTGAGAACATCTGGAATATGACAAGGCAGCAGATGAATATACTGGTTGTGGGCCCAGAACAGAAATTCCAATATGTGAAAAAAAATTGCTGCCCCTTTACTGAGTGTGATGTAAGAGACCACAGTCGAGTTGAAAAAAATGATTATGACTGAGTTGTTCCTCAGAACTGGAAGGAAATGAGCCAAAGCCCAAAGAGTCAGGAGTTCCAGAAGATTGATAAGGAAACCTGATTCAACCAAAGACCAGCAGCCTGAGATATCTCAATGGTTCAAATGTGCTCCCAACCCATCAGAGAAGCATAAGAAAAAATATGTAAATATAGTCTGGAAGGTGGAAGAGGAACTCCAGCTGTGGTGTTGTCCCTGTCTAACCACCAGACAAAATCGAATTGAATAGATGGAGCAAAGGAGATAGACGAATCCAGGAGATCCATGGCAAGGTCCCACTGGGCGTGTAAAACCCCTGAAGGCCCCTCATGTGAGCATGACCAAGG